ACCTTAGAAGTAGAGTCTTCAGATACCATTGATCAAGTCAAAGCCAAAATTCAAGATAAAGAAGGAATTCCCCCAGACCAACAACGTCTTATTTTCGCTGGTAAACAGCTTGAGGACGGTCGAACCCTCTCCGATTACAACATTCAGAAAGAATCTACCCTTCATCTTGTTCTTCGACTTCGCGGAGGTATGCAAATATTCGTAAAAACACTCACCGGTAAAACAATCACCTTAGAAGTAGAGTCTTCAGATACCATTGATCAAGTCAAAGCCAAAATTCAAGATAAAGAAGGAATTCCCCCAGATCAACAACGTCTTATTTTCGCTGGTAAACAGCTTGAGGACGGTCGTACCCTCTCCGATTACAACATTCAGAAAGAGTCAACCCTTCACCTTGTCCTTCGTCTTCGTGGTGGTATGCAGATTTTTGTTAAGACACTCACTGGTAAAACAATTACCCTTGAGGTTGAATCATCTGATACAATTGATCAAGTAAAAGCAAAAATTCAAGATAAAGAAGGTATACCACCTGATCAACAACGTTTGATTTTCGCTGGTAAACAGTTAGAAGATGGTCGTACCCTCTCTGATTATAATATTCAAAAGGAATCAACCCTTCATCTTGTTCTCCGTCTACGTGGAGGTCAATAAATGAAATACTGCACTTTTTTTTAAAATAAAAAGTATGTATGGCATTTATTCGTATAGTGTATAGTATTGAGATTGCAATTTTATGGATATAAAAATGATAAATCTTGATTATCTTTTTCTATAATAAATATTAAGAATAGATTTTAACGATGGGTAATATTATCAATGCTTCACTCTATTTGTATAAAATGGAATAAAATTCACTTTAGTTCACTTATGTTAAATATGGCTATTTATTGAGTTTCACGCTTTTATACGTTATGACTTTGAAATCCAAAACATCAATTTGATTTAAAAAATATCAATTTATTAATTTACGAATATGAAATTTGTTCGTGCAATTTATGGAATCTAAATGACCATGATTAATTGATGTTCTGATCATATCTATTTTAGATTTAAAAAACTTTTTGTTGAAAAATGTATTATTTCATAAAAAATAACGAGAATAAGCTGCAATTTTATCATGCATTTGATTCTTTCTATATCTGGATAATAGTTTTGTTACTTATTTGTTATTTAACATATTCTTTAATTAAATAAAACAATTAGTAACTTCGATCGCAAATTATTATTTAATTTGTAATTAAACCTATAAATTTGCAGCAGAATCCCCAGCAGATATTAAGTATACAATTACAAATCCCAATTGTGTTAAACGGAAATAAAATAAATCACATTTTTTGAACAAACTTGATCACAATCATTTTTACTAGTGACAAGTAGCGCATAAAATATTCGAAAAGCAACCCACCACGCGTGAAATATCAAAGTCACATAACACATCGATCATAAAGAATGTTACGAAAGATAAAGCAGATTTGTATTAAATTTTATTAGAGGAAAAACTTTGGAAATTATATAGTACATCAAAATGATAAAAATAAAAATACAAAAATAAAAAATATCTCTTTCTTTTAAATCGACCAGCGACTATAGATGATCACTATCGGTTATGAGTATCCCTGCTTTTTCGGCCGCTTTAACCGCGCCACTGGTAAATGAGTCCCTAGTCAAACCCACCACCACGCCGAACGTCTCCCTAGGCTCACTCGCCAACGCCCCTATCATCTCCCGGATCACGGTAGGCCCTGAGATATTTAGATATTTATTAAATGATATTTATTTAGATATAATTAATTTTCATTAAATTCCATTAAATACCTATTTTCTTTTTCTTCCAGGCTTTGCACTGCCCGGCAAATTTTTCGCCCTTCATGCGCCCGCGCATATCTATCTCCTGATCCCCTCGGCCTCTGTGAAAATTATAAATAAAAAAATGAGTAATTTCGGATATACAATGACTTGACTCAACAAATTAATACAGTGAAATACTCACCCTGTCCTTTCCACTCGCACATTTTTAGCCTTTAAATATTAACATTTTTTTTCTTCGAACTCTCTTCCGATTGCGACTGAAGAAGTCATTTTTAATTTTTTTGTAAATTTATGAGACGCGTAAAAAAGTGGAGTTCGAGTGGACAAATTTATTGTTGTTCGGTTCCGTTAAATCATGCTGGGCGTAACAAAATAGGATATTTTATTCAGTTATAGTTGCGTAATGAAAGAAATATGGTTTTTATTTATTTTAAAAATCATATGGGCGCTTTGCAGTAGAAAGGGAGGAAACTACCAAAAAAATTTTTTTTGAGTTAAAAATTTTTTTTGGTTGTTTCCTCGCAAAGCGCCCATATATAGTTTTATAGGTAATACAAAAAGTTCCATGTGGGGGTAGTATATCACGTGCTATGATGTCAGCCTGCCCTAACTAACAAGGGTAAATTTATCCTGTTCTGGGGGTATAGGCTCCTATCCTTCAGGTGTGACCGTCCCATATAAGGCAACGGTTACACAACTTATTAAAAAATTTTTTTATACAATTTAAAATACGGTTTTAGGGGTCTTACATTAGGCAATTCTTGCAATAAATCGTGGGTAAATAAAATCGGCAAACTTGAAGTTTTAGCACTGTGTTGTAATAATAACTGTTGAATCTACTTGAATCCAACAACTTTTATAGTAAGAATTAATCCAGCAAAAACATGTCTGAACAGAAGCATTGTATGGAATGTAAAACAACTGAGTCAACAAGATTCCATCTGTTAAAAGGAAATAAATGAAAAGAAGCTAAACTAAACAACTTAGTGAAGTTAATGTGAACAGAAGGTGTTGTTTTATGTAATATTTGCTATATGAATTTGGTAGAAAATCCTTTAAAAAGATCTAAGAGAAAGGCTATAGTTGAAGAAGAAGCCATAGATGAAGAAGCTACAAACGAAGAAACCACAGTTAAAGAAGAGGTAAATACAAAGATTGAGCTTACTAGAGCCATCAAAGCGATGGCAAAAATCTTTTATGATAGAGAATATTTGAAGAAAGAAGGTCCGATCTATGAATTTGATGAAATGCGAAGTTTGCTTCAAGAGATTGAGCTGAGCTTGAAGGATTTTTTTGATCAACTTTATTTAGCAGCTCGACCACTCAAACGTAACAAGCAAATAATGGACCGTATGAAGAAATTAATGGTGTTCATATGTTACCTCATTGCTTCACTAAATAATACTAAAATCAATTCCTTTAAATTTGACCTCGCACTCTATTTAGATTCGGTAGGTACAAGTAATGAAGGCTTGAATACAATGGCGAATCTTGACGTGACTATAACATCAAGAACGGTAAATCATAAGAAGAAAAAAATTTTAGATTCACATAAGGAATACGTAGAAAATGTTCTTGTGAAATATTCGGAACAGGCTTTTGTGTTGAATATCGATAATTATCACAATATTCATGTTCAACGGCAACCTAACATTACTAGTACATCTTGGGCAGCACATATGGCAATAATCATAACGAATCCTTACCCTATGTTAGTGATATCACATGATGGGACACTCAATCTAAAAATTATTGATGAAGAGTTAATTACGAAGCATCTTGATAACTGATTTATCGCAAATCTTGATATTTCTTATAATGATCATATATGAGACTATAAAGTTAAAGAATGTTCTGATGATAAGCTTATGGATAGACTGACATTGCACAGTTACAATGATAGATTAGTAGGAAAAAAGACAAATCAGCATACAGTCAACTCTTTCTACAACGAATTTTGATATAACAAATTTTACAATAAAACAGATTTTCAGTGTCAGACAGATTTTTAAATATAAAAAAACCCTTACTATATCGAATTTAGTAATTAAAAATTTATACTACATTTAACGAATTAAAGTCAGAAAAATTTATATATAAAATGATTCTCTTTATAATGAATTTTCTCTATAACGAATTTTTTTTTTGATACAACGAAGTTTTGCTTAAAATGAATTTTACTAGATTTATGTATA